TGCGAAGAAGAAGCAACGGAAACCCAAGGCGCAAGCCATCTCACCAACCAGCACAGGGCCGGCTCCCAACAGCCGGGCCACGAGTGAAGGTCAGGTTGACGATGGGGCAGATCACGATAATAGGTCTCAATCGGGCTCTTCGCGTAGCAAGCCTCCAAGCCGCGATCGAACCCCCCTTCGACAAGGTTCTTTGGATAAGCCTAACATCCTAACCGAGCAGACGGACCGGGATAAGCGAAAGCTTGCTGCGGTCGAGTCCACATTCCGTCGCTTGGAACAGGAGCAGCAACAACCGGCAAGGAAGAAGAAGCGCGTCTCGGACGGTACCGCATCGAACTCGTCAAAATCAAAGGCCCGTCATGGTTCAACGGCATCACACAAAACCTATGTCGATTCTGGGACATGCAGGAGCAAGTCTGGCTCGCCAGCAAGTTCCCATTCTCCTCGAACCACTCACAAGGCCTCGGTTACGACACAAGCATCTTCCATCAGCCGTTCCCGTCAGTCTTCTGCCACGTTAAGAGCGGTGTACTGCGACGCTGCTGTACAAACCGATCCGGTCGAGGGCGAGTGGTACAGCGAGCCCAACCGATCTCCCCGGCCAAAGAAGCGCATCATTTCGCTCTCTAAGCGGTTGCTGAACAATCGCTCAAGAGCACGAAGTGATGAAGAAGAGCGCCGCAGACTATCCCTGACTACTCAAACGTCGAATGGGACGGTAATGGAAGTCGACTCGCCTATAATGGAGCATACTCCTGTGATTAAGCGATCAGAATCCGAACTGCCGTCACCCCGTTCACAGGCTGGAGACTTGCCCATGCCTGATGCTTCATCAGCAAGCACGACACCTGTTCTCGGATCTGCAGCGAGCGACACGTCAACAAAGACAAAAACCCCCGATCTTCGTGTCCAGCTACCTCCAGTACCTGCTTTTGACAGCACCGGTCTTGGGATCCAGCATGCGACAACTCCACAGTCAGCTGGATTGGTTCAGTCTCCTCTTATGGGCACCTTGCCAAGTCCATTCGCACCTCCAGCGGTCAACGGCATTGCAGCTCATCCCAGCCCTATCAAGAAGAAACTGAGTCTGAGCGACTACACCAAGAGCCGGATGAACAAGGCAGGAAAAACTGCCGGGGGCAATATGCTCCACAGGCCTTCCATCTCGAGTCCAGAGGACACAAAGGTCGACATCATTCTCGAATCCCCCTCGGCCGAGAAGACTGCAGAGAACGTGGCCCCTACGGTACCAGGTGTCGCGACCAACGGTTCTCTGTAACATGACGACGCGGTTGTACGCTTAGTATCACTATCGATTTCCAAAATTTTGTTTGCTTTTTTTTCTTGGGGATGGCGGATTCAAAAGCCCGGAGTTCTGCTATTCTTATACACTGGCTTGTACGTCGGGTGGCACCTCCGATGGTTGGCGTTTGAAGAGGATCAGGACAATGAATGGATGGGTTCAGGGCGACCCTGCAGAGGACTTGACACCAAGCCTCGACATGGCGCAGGGTCCAGGTGTCTATGTATTGACGGCACACGATGCGCCCTCTGGGTTGTTTATGTATTGGCGAGAAAACTAGGTGTCTTGGTTGGCGATGGCCAAGTTAGTTATGTTGAAGAGGATGATGGACGATGGGTTCCTCGGATGGAAACGAACGACTGGGTTGGTTGGTGTTGTAAGAACGAAAGGAAAGGGACGACGCCTATGCCAAGTCTCGCTTTGGGATTTTCTGTTGTACTTATAGGCGCGACCGGGGTTGGTTTGCATGTTCTATATGCAGTTCGATGTAGTATCCGTATAGTCAGTCAGTCAGTCGAGCCACCTCGCGATGAGGGAAACAATGAATTCTTTTAGTCGGGGTGGATGCGTACTCATCCACCTCGAAATCTTTCAACTTTATATTTGATGGACAATATTCAATGTTTATTCATTTCGTTACGCTATCTATGTCGGCAGGGTATCATTAATGACTGGAGTATTCAAACCGTCAAGTTTGAGCACTCTTGTATAGGTACGTACCAGATCTTTACTGGAGGCACTTCCGGATGCACAGTCTGCTAGTAGTGCACAGTCCCCCAGTTGTCTTCCTTAAATACCAACAGAGCAAGACGGTGTCTCACGAACAAACCAAATAGGCCAACCACAAGCTGCAGCATTGTCACCTCAAAGGCGAGGCGGTCTTCGCGCAGGGGCCCGCGCCAGACGAGCCACAGGTTGAGGATGGTAAAGTTGCTCGTCTCGACAAACTGGCCCTTGTCGTCGGTCGTGACCTTGAGGAGCCGCAGCTTGGCTAGTAGGTGGAGGACTTGAGCGACGAGGGGGTGGGGTTGGCGCTCAGGAGACCATGGTGTGACGGAGGGCTCAAGAAGACCTGTTCGTGCATTGAAGCGAGGGAGTCGGTGGCGTGGACAAGGGATAAGGCCGAAGATTTGTGGGCACGAGTAGAGAAAGTTGAACAGCTGTGGGATGAGGAGGAGGCCGAGTGTCTTTGAAAAGTGGCCGAGAATGCCGACAACTGCGAAAACCATGCCCGAGAAGTAGCAGTAAGTATCGCCGACAAAGACCTTGGCGGGGTACCAGTTGTGGCAGAGCAGGGCGCAAGAGACGCCGATCCAGGGGAGGAGGAAGTATAGCGAAAACAGATGCGAGTCGGTAGCGGGGTGAGGGTAGGGCGTGAAGAGGTAGAGGCAATCGTTGAAGACGAGGAGCAGGGCGACGACGACGCACTGGGAGACCTCGATGCCGTTGATGCCAGCCAACATGTTGATGCTCTGGGGGCAGAACATGGCGACGCAGGCCATGTAGACGTAGTAGAAGGGACCGAGATCGAAGAGCTCTCCTAGGTAGGGCTGGAGCTGGACGGGGAGGACAATCGAGGTGACGTCAAAATCGACAAAGTAAACGACGAGCAGGGGGATGGAGGCCAGACCAGGAATCCACCACTTGTGCCGCCATCGAATGTCGAAGAGGTCGTCGCCGACTCCGAGGAGAGCAATGGTCTGAAGGGAGATGATGGCGCTCAGGTAGGAGGCGAGCTGGGGAAGAAGTCATCAGCATTGACTATTGTATCATGTCCATCATGAGAAGCTTACCTTGTTGTGGGGGAAGCGGTGCAAGAAGCGCCCCTCGTTGACTTCCTCCAGCTTGACGACTACATCGCGATTTCCACCACCACTCGTCGCAGCCACAATGTCCTTGTAAAAGGGAAACGGGATGAAGACCATGACGGTGATGAGATAGACAGCAGCGCATACAGCGCCCATGCACTCTGGAATATCAGGACGGTGCAGCTTGCTCATGTCGCGACCACGGAAGCCAGCGCGCATAAAGGTCGGCCCTAACCAGCGTATCATGGCATAGCAGATGGAAAAGGCGAGGAGGGAGAGCGAGAGCGAAGCGATGAGGGGTTCGCCATCGCCGTGGAAGGTGTTTGCGAGGACGGCGAGGGATGCGCCGGAGAGGACGAGGAGGGTTAGGGTCTCATGTCGTGAGAGCGAAGTCGTCGAGGCAACGGCCATGATGGACGGCTTTAAAGGTATGATGGAATGGTGGGGTGTGTAGTTGTAAGTTAATTCGAGTGGCGCGCGGGGAACGAGTGAGGGCGCATCCTGATCGCGAGAAGGAGACGAAACGATTGGTGGTGTTAAAGAGCGTGGAAGATGAATAGATATCTAGAAGAGAGACAATGGATGCTGCGAGCTGATGGAAGTACAAAAATACGAGGTTCAAGTTTTGGTGACACGTTGAGCTTCCCAATCCTTACCTGGGGACGACGGGATGTGGAGGCTTGTCGCGGAAGCACGTGCCGCCCGGGGGAGGAGAACATTACCTATCAAACTCCACATTGATTCAGTAGCAAATCATCAACTGCGCCTTTCTTAAACAAATCTAATTTGTACATTCTAATGCGGATCCGTTGATTTCTCAGTGGGACGCTGCGAGACACAATCTCACCTGCAGTTCGTCAGCACTTCATGTCACCCCCCCCCCGGCCTACAGTTTGAAAAACACCCCATGATGGTGTTTAATACCCGACTCGACTCGGGTCTTAGGGAACTGCGGGTATATATACCTACATCTTGGTCTGGCTTTATTGGCTGGTTGAAGTCGACGGGAGCTAACATCTCGAGCCAATAAAAGAGCCTTGGGGGTTCCTAGCGAACGAGGAGAGTCGATACGACGCCTAAAGCAGCATCTCCGATTCTTATGCATGAGCTGCTTTTTGCGTTGCGTACTTCAGTGGAACTTGAGTGTCGCCGTTGAGTCATTCACCGGGCAAGGGTTCCCCCTTTGCTCTCTTTCAACGATGTCTATTCCCAAACTCGGTCTAGTTCCCGGTCTTCTCAACCACTGCCAACTCCTCTTCTACCGGCGCAACTCGAATCCATTGCCGATCCGATCCCCTCTCACTCGCTCATCATGACCCGTGGGGCCTGGCATCCTCCTCGGCTCCGATCCCCGAGGGCTTGGCCATGGCCATCTCCACTCTGCCCGGATATAGGGGTGGGGAATAGATTGGTGACCCTACCTATTTTTGGTTTGATTTGAAATACGGATGGATGCCCTGTCGATGTAATATTTTGTCTTGATATCCTCCCAGTTGCTTGCCTTGCTTTTCGCTGCTCTGGTTGTCTTGTTTGCGCTCTCACCACCACCTATCTCGAGTTCCTCAGCTGGGAACTCCAACTTGGGCTTCACTCCGGCTTCAGTCGGCTTATGGCCTCGTCAAGAAGACTATCGAGTCGAGGTTCTCAGTACAATGACTTCTTACAGGGGAAATGGTGAGGCTTCAGGGTCTGATCCAGAAAAATACACCGCTAGAGCAGATGACAAGGAGGCATCCCTCTCGCCTCCTTCTGTTACCTCAGACAAAGAGGATGAAATCAACGAGAAGAAAGGGCGGGAATCACCCGAAGAAGACTTTGACATTGAGGCCCAAGATGTGAGCAACGACTGTTTACAGAGCGATATAGCTCTACTGACATGTTTATAGGACATGATTCAAGTTGAAAGGGTTGAAACCCGAGCGACAAATGCCAGCCGCAAGACGCATCGCAGCGTCATCAGCCGTCTCTCTCTAGCCAAGAGCAAGACGAAAGGGAGATTGCCACCGCCTGTACACCCAGTCATGGACCTAGACAATGGAATCGTTGGTTGGGAGAGCCAGCATGATCCTCAACATCCCCTCAACTTTTCTCAGTCCCGAAAATGGTTCATCACCGGCCTCCTCTCCGCCATCACCTTCATGACACCCTTTGCATCTTCCATCTTGGCACCGACAATCTCATACGTTGCGGATACATACCACGAGACTGACCTAACTAAGAGTTCCATGCCTGTTAGCATCTTTCTGTTGGGTTATGCTGTTGGTCCCCTTTTCCTCTCGCCCTTATCCGAGATCTACGGCCGACATATTATCATCACCGGTGCGAATGCCTTCTTTTGCGCTTGGCTTATTGGATGTGCCCTCGCCCCATCTCTCGACACTCTTATCTTCTTCCGCTTCATGTGTGGTCTTGGCGGTTCTGCTTCTCAGACTGTTGGAGGTGCCATAGTCGCCGACCTTTTTCCTGTCAGTGAACGAGGCAAGGCCATGACCCTCTGGATGATCGGAACCATGATCGGACCTTCGACTGCACCAGTTATTGGCGGCTTCGTCGCTGAAACTATTGGATGGCGTTGGGTCAACTGGATCACTTTTATTCCTGCCACCATCATCGTCGTCGCCATTGCCATCCTGAGCTGCGAGACCAACCACCAAGTACTCATCCGACGAAAGACAAGACGTCTTCGAAAGGAGCTCAACCGTCCAGAGCTACGCAGCTGCTACATCGATCCGTCCGCCCCTGTCCTAACTCGTCGTCGAATCCTCCTCAACGGCCTCACACGACCCATCCGTCTACTCTTTAGTTCCCCCATCGTGTTTGGCGTGTCGCTCTACATCGCCTTCTCATACGGATGTCTCTACCTCCTCTTTAATACTATCCCCATGGTATTCCAGGGCAGCTACAACTGGTCCATCGGCATAACAGGCATCGTCTACCTCTCCCTTCTCATTGGCTATATGGTCGGGCTGTCCGTCTTCTCAGCCTTGTCCGACAAGACGGTCGTCCGCATGACAAAGGCCAACAACGGCGTCTACGAGCCCGAGATGCGCCTCCCGGACTGCATCTACTTTGCCTTTATCTTCCCCATAACCTTCTTCTGGTACGGCTGGTCCGCCGACAAGGCAGTTCACTGGATCGTCCCCGTTATTGGTCTTGTGCCGTTTGGCATCGGCATCGTGGGGACGTGGATGCCCATCCAGGCGTACCTGATCGATGCCTACGCCCATTATGCCGCCAGTGCTCTCGCCGCGTTTTCAGTCATGCGCAGTGTCGTCGCTGCATTTCTACCCCTCGCCGGACCAGAGATGTTTACATCTCTCGGCGTCGGCTGGGGTAACTCGCTGTTGGGTTTCATCGCCATTGCGTTGATCCCCATCCCCACGATTGTGTACAAGTATGGAGGCAGGATACGGAAGAGGGAGAACTTTAAGTGGTAAAAGGTTGGCTACGCTGGATGCCCTCGACAGTAGATAGTTCGCATCGGGTGTAAATCTATGGCACATAGCATTGGAGTTCTGCGAGTCTAATAGTCAAATACTAGCCTTCATACAAAAGGATTCTCCGCTGTGAGACACAACCAACTGAGAAATAGTACCATGGATACCTCCGGCTCGTAAATGCCTGAGAATTCAAGAGCTCAATGTCATGTCTGGAATGTCCATACACCATAGCAATCTAAGCTTCTCAGATAGTCTCAAGCCTTCATCCCAGAGACATCAACACCACCGAAACAAACCAGAGAACAAATATTGACATCATTCATCGTTTCAATTGCAATTGCTTTTTGGGTATATCAACCCCTTCCGTACTATCTAAGCAAGAGCGACCCCGGCGACAGGATCGAAGTGGAGAGATTCATAAACATCATCGACGCTGCCCAAAGTTCCCAAACAATATAGATAATCTTCAGTTTAGCCTCCCAAACCAACCAACCATAGATCCAAGATATAAAACCGACAAAGCGCCTTTTGGGTGTTTTTTTTTGTTGCTCAGATGCCCTGCCCAGAAAGAAACAATGGAAATAAAGAAAACAAAATCCAAAAACTCCAGCTTCTTCTTTATCCGTGGTGTATGCCGGGTATCGCTTCATAAAAAAAATATACAGTCGCCCTCCCTTAAATCTCCTTTACAAAGCCCACCTCGACGAGACTGTCGGGGTCAATGTCTAGGTTGGCCAGCTTGGTCCTCGAATTCTCTCTGATCCACAAGAATGCTTCAAGCGCCACGCGTCGGCAAATGTTCTTGAGTGTTCGTTTCTCTCGTTTGTGCACTCGCATCGTTTGCTTGCCCATGAGATATACTGTTTGGGCCTCCTCCGCAGAACGGAGGGCATCCAGCTCATCTCGTACATCTGGGGGCAAGTCGCTTTCATCTGGTGGGAACGGACCCCTCGTGATGAACGTCATAAGCTCATTCACGATGATACGGGCCAGGTTTGGTGTAAGAATGTCGTCCATGTAACCATGTCGCAGCACAATTTGATAGCAGGAGGGGATCTTGGTCGTGACTCGGGAAATGACGAATCGTTGGTCGTAGGGCACTGTGGGTTGAGACAAGGGCCGCATGTGGAAAAAGACAATAACCTGCGGCCGAGTCTGGAATTTTCGGATGAATTGTGTAAACACTTTTGGGATGTGATCGCCGCTGCCGCCAACCTTGTCGAAGAAGATGCCGAGACCTGGGGCCGGCGTGATGCTTCCGCCTCCATACTCGGGGGCAAGTCGAAGACGGACCGAACGGATCGAACTATCTCCCGCTTCTCTAGCAATCGAGTTGTTGCGAGAGGTGCTGCGGGACGAAAGCAGAAAGTCGGCAGGATCTATCATATCCTTCATTTCCGCCTCCCATTGTTGCTCCTTGCCCCATCGCCAGAGTATGAAGACGGTTGAAAGGATAAACGATAGCACGATGGCGAACCAACCACCATCTGGTACCTTGTTCATTGCAGCGCTGAGGTAGATGCTGTCTAGGAGAATGAAGACGAGGAATCCAAACACCACAACGACGGTCGGGACTCGCCAGACGATGAGGGCCACTAGAGACACTAGACAAGTCGTGATAAACGTGACGAGAATGACGCAGGCGCCATAAGCATGGCCCAAACTCGTTGTCTATTCCAAAGTAAATCAGCAAATGGTCGAATTAGAGTCGTAAGGACAAACTTACGTTATTGTACACAGCTGTAACCACAACAGTACCGATCATCAGCAGCCAGTTCGCAAAGGGCATGTAAATCTGGTCGTGGAACTGGCGACTGGTGTGAACTGTCTTGATATGTGGGAAGTAGCTCAGCCTCATAAGCTGTGAGATGAGCTGGAATGAACTGGTAATCAAGGCCTGGCTTGCAACAATGGCTGCAAGAATCGCAATGATCAGGCTGAAATAGAAGCTGCCTTCAGGCACCGTACGGAAAAAAGGGTTCGTGAAGGCCGTCTCCTCCTCGTCGCGGGCGATAAAGGCAGCTTGGCCGCAGTATGTGATAAGCAGGCAAGGGTATGCTAGAACCAGCCAGGAGAGCTGGATAGCTTTTTTCCCAAAGGCGCCCAGGTCTGCAAAGAGAGATTCGACTCCTGTGAATGCCAGCAGCAACCCACCCAGGGACTTCCAGCCGTTCGAGTCGTTTCGGATCAAATATGTAAAGGCGTAGTGCGGACTGAAGGCCTTGAGCACGGTATGGTCGTATCGAACGAGATTGACAATGCCGACGGCAAAGTTGAAGAAGAGCCAGACCATGACCACTGGCGCAAATGTCGTACCAATCTTGGATGTGCCGAGCGGTTGCAGCAGGAAGAGGAAGACGAGTATCGCACAGCTGATTCCCACGATGGCAGACCTTCCCAGATCAGGCCTCACAACTTGAATGCCTTGGATGGCACCCAGTACGGACTGGGCGGGTGTCAAGACGCTGTCGGCCATGACCATAGCGACTCCCAGGATGCCGACCATCTTGAGAACCGCCTTTGCGGTTCGACTCCTTTCGAGAAAGTCTCGTACTATCCTCCCAGCTGGCGGCAATTCGGCGCCAGTTTCGCGATCCAGGCGCACCACAATCCTCTCGGGGCCGCTGGGGTCGGTTCGGACAATGTTGGCATATCGGGCTAGCAACGAGTAGACGGCAAAGGTGCCTCCCTGGCCGTCATCATCGGCTGACAGCACAATGAAGCAGTACTTGACAGTCACGATGAGGGTGAGCGACCAGATGATTATTGACAGGGCGCCCACGAGGTCTTGCCATGATGGTTGTTCGGTAAAGGTCGAGCTGAAGACGTAGAGAGGGCTGGTGCCAATGTCACCATAGACGACACCGGTACTCTGGAGGGCGAGCCATAGCAAAACGCGGCCCTTGTAGGTCTTTTTTACACAATCACAAGTCAGAACAGAACGGCACTCGACGATACAACAAGCAAGCAACACATTGATTGCCGGCATGGAGGCTGGGCCGACGATGCGGGACCTACCTGCTTATTCTCACGACACAGATCCTCATGTTCGATTCGCTGGGCTTTCTCCTGGTCATGCAGGTCGCGGGCTTCGGGGTCTGTGGGGGCGGCGTCTTCGCTTTCTTCGGTGGCCGCGTTGACCCAGGCTTCTATCCTCTGGTTACGAGCATTGTATGAGATCATTTCGATCTTTGGTCGCGATGGGTCACTCGGTGACGCTGGAGATCCAGAGGACAAGGGGCCAAAACCTGGGGCCCGGGGTTATATACTCTGGCCATGCTGGACTAGGATGGCGTAGAATGACGAGCCTAAGCTGTCCAAGCGACGGCCGGGCTCATCGGCCGGACGCCATCTTGCTGGTGAACTTGGCTTCTGGGCGATCCACTCTGGCAACAGCCACAAGTCTGGCAAACGGCGCCTACCTTGGCTGCCAAGAAGTCACAGGCGTCGTCTGTTGCGGTGCTGATAGGCCGTCGCGTACTCGCCTAGACCTAATTTCTTGGACATCTCCACCCGGTAGAGCACGCCCGCAGACGTCGATGGATGGCCTGCGTAGAAGCTGCGCTGCAGGCGTCTGCAGGCCTCGGGGCTGTGTGCTTGCAGGCCAAGTCTCCCCCAATTGCCCCCTCGCTCTCGTCATCGGGAGCACGGCTTTGTGGCCAAGATACGGCCGAGAAAGCTGCCCACAGTTAGTCGAGAATGTCGGTCCAATGGCGCGCCGCGACGCCCCAATCACCTGCCTCAAGACCTCAAGGTCTCGAGTCCTCCCTCCAATCTAGCCCTCGAGAAGTGCGGGGATAGTCGATTTTGCCCCGTGGAAGAGTCAAGGGCTTGACCCAAGACGGTCACGTCCGCAGACAAAAAGCCGAGCCGCTAAAAGCTTGGTTCGTTCTTGGTGTCTCTTGGCCGTTTCTTGGCTGCTTCTCTGTCCTCGCCGTAGGGGTCCTTTCGGTCGTCCGAGTCCACACACCAGGGCTACCGAGATTTCCCGCATGCGACCATGACCGTTCGAGCCAGCCTCTGGCTTTTGTGGCGTGCGGAACCTTCGGTGAAAGGGCAAAGAATCCTGTCAGTCTGTATCCACGAGCCCTCCATCCGAGTCTCACCAGAGACCCACGTGATTGCTTGAGAGGTCTTGGAGTCTTACGGTGATAGTGTGATTGTGATTCTTTCTGCCGAGCCAAGGATGTTGCAATCCGATGTATGTCGCAGTCAGTCAGCGCACAAAGTGTTGAGGATACAAGGTCCCCATAACAAAAACTGGAAGAACTTGGGTGGTCTGAGGTGCTCTTTCCTTCCGAGGCCGGCTGCATTAGAATTGGAAAAGGAAGTTGCGACCACATGCCTTGATCATCCATAACATCACGCCCCCTCCCTCAAGTTTCACGGTTGCAGAACCCACAGCAGGAGAAAGGCCGACGAGGGAGAAAAGAGAAATCATCTCGGAGTATCAAGCAGCTTACTCGCATGGATCTAATTGTGGAGGTTTGAAAGTATATCCCCACTACATCAGTTGAGCATTTGTAATAGTGGTGTTGGTCATGATCTTGCTGATTGATACTGGGTACTTGTAGGTGGTGTCAAATGTTGAGGAAGAGCTTCCAAACTCTCAAACCACCAAATGAGGCTGCATGGATGAAGTCATGTATAAGCCTCACGTTCGATTATTTGGACTTGCGCCGTATTGGTGCCGATTTCCAAGAAACAGCCGCGTTGCCGCATAACTTGGCGATAATCTTCCAGCGCCATTCCGGCTTTATGCTGGGAATACAGCACCTAGCAAACCCCAACCAATAAATGGCACCTATGTTCCAGAACACTGGACATCGTTGGTTCGTGCATCTCAATGCAGGGCGGAAGATTCCTAGTTTGACCTACTATCTTGGCGAGACGTCTCGCGTCTATATCGTAAGAGTCTTTGCAACTCGTAGTATTATGCCAACCCCAAGACTCCACATCAACCATGTTGAATATACCACCAGACCTCAAACCAATTCCCAGGTTACAAGGTACTCCCACGCCATTGCGTATCTGCCGATCTTGGCACGGAACTCGTCACCCGTGACACCCCTTGGGTCATGATCGCCGAATTTTGTCAAGACAAACAGCCTGGCCTGCTTGCCCCGAGGGCCCAGGTCCTTCGCATTGACATCGATCCAATACCAATAACCGTCAGTCTGCAGTGGCACCATTTCGTCGCGGGTTCCCTCGCCGCGGGGGAGGCTGAGGACTACCAGGCGTTCCTTGCCGCCGTTCATCTTGGATGACCAGTGTTCGCAGGCTTTGGAGAACTGAAACCGCACGATCTCGCCGCTGTCGACGGAGAGATGAAGCTGTTTCGGCTCCACGCTATACTCGGCAATTCCTTCATCTGCAGTTGTCCCGCACATCGTATGGGGCTCCCCATCGATGCCCCCGGTGTAGTACGCGTCCCAAGCCATAACTTGGCCGTCGGAGCGGAATTGATAGCGTGACTCGGCTGGGAAATGTTTTCTGCCAAAATCCTCGTTGGAACTTACGAACTGCACAGGCGAAAACTTGGCCGTGTAGTTTTGTCCGCACACATGACCGGAACCCCAGCAAGCATCCAAAAGCTTCCAATCCCCGCCATCGATACGGACTGCGTTCCAGGCATGCCCGTCTGGCTTGGCCGGCGGAGGACGCTCACCCTTCTTGAGTGGTGTGTATCCGAATCCCTTTCCATGGCCGGTAACAACAACGCATTCGAGCCCAGCTCTGTTTGCGATCGCCTTGTATGTCTCTGCGTATCCTGCGCAGACGGCTTTTCCACCGAAGATAGTGTCCTCGGCAGTCATGTGTCTAACGTTGTTACCGAAAAATGCCGCCGTGTCGTACTCAATGTTATGATGAAACCAGGTAAATATGGCTCGCGCCTTGTCTGTATAAGACGGGAATGGGTCACAAAGCACCTTTGCCAAATACCCAGCAGGATCGGTTCTCGGCAACGAACCCCTGGGATATTGCGCTGCCACAGTATCGGGGCCACTCCAATCTCGACAAATGAGACAACCGTATACCGGCGCTACTGGAGTAGCAGCTCGAACCGTGAATGCCTCGATCTGGGCCACTGAGGGGCGCGATGAGGTAGGGATTGGCGGAGGCTCATCCGCTGAGAGTGGACGGCTAGGTATACGAGGTCGCACAGCTGGTATTGGGGGTTCTTGGGAGTCATCTTGATGTGACGGCTTCCGTCCGGATGAGAATCCAATAATAATGGGTGTTTTGGTGTTTGTTTTGATGTTTGTAGTTGTCCTGGGGGGCAGTTTTTTAGGCTGGGCTGTCTCCTGAGGTTCGGGAACGGCACTCGCCTGTGGCTTGGCTGGGCGCGAAGGGAGTCTTGGTGGAAGACTTGGCCGTGGCGGCAGTGCAGGCTCGGCGCTCTTGGGAGGCCGAAGTGAAGGTATAGACCGCTTGGTCTTTACTGCCTTGGCGGCAGCTGCAGCCTCCTCTCGTTCCCTTCGAGTTGGCGGTAACTTTGGGAGGCTTGCTGGATCATATGCTGGAGGTAGCTTGTGCCCAGGCGTGCCTTCAGAACCTTGGCTTGTGATTGACGAAGGTGGCCGCCCTGCAGACAGCGTAGACAATGTGGAATGCTGCGATAGCTCTGAAGAGCCAGAACCACGCCTGACCATCAACCCAGGAGGTTGTGTCGATGTGCGCCGCGGTGGCAAGGTCGGCGCTGACTGCATCGACGATGTGCGACTTGGGAGCGGAGGTGGACCCCCAGGACGACGATGTTGGGCCTCATCATGTGGAGATTCTGCTATAGTTTGCTCTACAGCAGGAGTCGAAACGATCCTCTTGGGCCTCGGAGGAATCAATGGGTTGCTTTTAACGGGGGCATCAGCTGTTGTTGAAATGACTGGCACCGTCTGGCTCCTGGCCTCAACCGCAGGACGGCCGGGAGGGGGTGGAGGGGGAGGCCGCTTGCGAAAGGGCTCAGGACTCGGGGCGCCAGTGAAACTCTGTTGCTTCTTGAGAGCGGCGATTCTCTCAGCCAGACTGTTGAACTGGGGCTCCTCGGTCTCGGCCATGATGTTGGCAGGTAAAAAGGGGCCTCAAATGTGCGATTCTGTTCAAGAGGTGCCTTGTATGGTCTGCGAAAACCGGAAGGTGGAGGTGCGGCTGGAGCGTGGCGACAAGCAACAGTGAAACAGCTTGGGGACGAGACGGCCACGTCAGTTGCCAGCGAAGAAGACGAGGCGAGGTTATGACTCGAAGTCTAGCGAGAGGATAGGTAACGACAGCGATAGAGATGTTGAAGGTGACTCAGGGAAGAAGGGCCTCCATGGTGGGATGAATTGGAAGATATGGAAAGTCTCGAAGGATTTGGGGTCTGCCCAGGCTCCAGGCCCCAGGCGGCCACTGTCCTGTCCATGTGCTTGAGCGCTGATTGAAGGGGTCGGACACAGCCCTGTAGGTGGGACCTGGAGCCGCAGTTTCGAGGGCGGGGAGTGGAAGATCCTTCTCCAGCTCGAGTTTCATCCTATTCTAGAGCCAACAGATCTTGCAATCTTGGCTGCTAAAATTACGCTGATGAGCACACCATGACAAGCATATTGTGTCTTTCTTGTCTATTCTTTGGCTTGTTTGTCGAGCTTAGGTAGCTCGATGATTTCGTCAAGACGCTTCCATGTAACACGAGCACAGCCCGTGGCAACTTGTCCCTCAACATCAGGTTCTATATCTGTGCCCAGGCTGAACTACTTTAGCCCATGAGTTGTCCAGGTTAGAGGAGAGTGTTGGCCGTGCGAGACCTTGCCAAATCAACTGCAATCCTTTGATCCAGAGATAATTTCAGTTTCAAAAGTTGAGTCACACTGTATTCGTCGTCCCAACGGCATGTGGAGGGACCCATCTCCCGATGCACCTGTGCATCCCGTGCCCTGGAGACGGCTCTGCAAGGGACACGAAAACCTGAGAAACTCGACGTCGCTTAGGTACACAATGTAGCATTTGACCCATTTACGGGGTAGCAAATTATCATCACTCGCAGGTATTATGGGTTCTAAAAATGCCTGGGCCTCAAACACAGCCCCCAATAAATACGGGAAACAACCTCTCTGAACGTTCGATCGACAATCGCTTCGGGTCAATGTGCCGTAACCCGCACGGGGCACCGGGGCGCGGGGCCAGACAGTTACGCTAATTAAGTACAACACGTAGATTTTGGGGGCAGCTGGAAATGGGAATTATTAGTTAGACGACTAATGCATTCATGTACATTGCCGAACCGACGGGCTCTAGCCTCGCAGTTGTCCCTGTGATTCAGAGTGGGCTGCGGGTTCGTCCCATGGTGATATCTGGACGATAATAAATTAGTTATCGCACGGCTTTTGCCCACAACCTGCGCAGGTAACAGTGAAAAAGGTATTACACAAGAGCTTTTCTTATTGTTTCTCGTACTCGTGATGCCCAAGCACAACATGAACCATTCCATTCTCGCCGATCTTCCTCCGACTACCAAAAGCTTCTGTAACGCTGGAAGGCTAGCATCCCAAGTCTGTCTACTTACGCTTGGAAAGGGGCTCGCCATCCCTGATCTTGCGCTCGCCATACTTGGCGATGCGGATAGCATTCACGTTGATAAACCCAGTTGTGTCTTCGACACTCCAATCCATGTCAAGAGTGTCCTGCATTTCCTATGTTAGTTTTGATCCGAAGTGGTCATCTTCAGGTACTTACCATGCTGCTCTCTTCTTCGCTGTAGAGATTGGATGTCTCGCTGGAGCGGCCAACGATGATAATGTTGCCCTTGTAAGCCAGAGCTTCGACCTTGCCATCAACCCGCTTCTGGCTGAAAGAGATCGCCTGCTGAACGAACTCGCGCTCAGGCGTAAAGTACATTCCCTGAAAAGATGTCAGCAAGGTCTAATCCAACAGAGCTTGAAGAGAAGGGGCTACGTGCGTTGTAGATACATTGCGCCCAGTCATCTGAGAGACGGTCGCGAATGATGCGCACCTTGCTATCCATCACGAGACCCTGAGCAATCGTTAACTTGAGTCCTATACTTATTAAAGATAGAGAGTGTTTGGATTGGCTCATGCTCAGGTGACAGCCCCGCTTGTAAACGGCAAGAGGATTTCGGCCCAAGAGACGACTCTGGAATCGCATCAAGGGATATCAAACACCGCAGCATGAGCCAATCCAATGCTCAAGGAGGTGACAATTTACCTCCAGGTTTAGATGCAGCTTGCGCAAAATAGTCAGGCCGGGGGTATCTGCATACAAGGTTAGAACATCCTGTCAAAGTGCATGGGGGAGAGCGGAACAGGTGTCGCCTGCGACTGGGCCATGATCTACGTCGCCGGCCGCGCACACCAGAACATCGACAATGCATCCGCAACCTCAAAGACGTCTCCAACAACAACAAATCATTAGAAAAGCAAGGAAATAAACGCAACTGACCGTAGCAACCACGAGATTTCAATCCTGAAATAAATAAAAAAAAATTAGCAATCACGTGCTGATGTTAAAGTTCCCTGAGAGTAGGCTTACCGATGAACCTCGACTCGACGATATCCTCGCGTCCAATACCTGGGACTATGTCAGTACTCGCTTGAAAGCCCTTCGGTTCGCAGTCCTACCGTTGGCACGGCCCAACTCGTTGGCCTCCTTGAAGATCTCCAAGGAGCCAGTAACGGCCTTGCCCCCAACTTCAAGCTTAACGGGAACACCCTCAGCAAAGTGGACGGTGAAGCGAGTGGGCTTATCGGGAGCGTCCAGGGGATCTTCGGAGAGGTATTAGCGCAAAATCTAGAAGTGTGTAGGCTGAGTCGCCTCACCAACTGTGCGCTTCCACATGTCCTTCGGGGGCTCCATGTCTGTTTGCTCGAGAATCTAGCAAGTTCAGGGTCAACAGGGCGCAAAGAGAGGTGTTCCCGTAGGAGGACTTACACCGGCCTCGTATGAGCAGTGCTATCGGATCGATAGTCAGTATTATGAAGAAGAAATGGGACCTTTCATACATACGATGATGTTGTCGTCCATAGACCAGGGGGCTTTGGGAGTGGAGCTGACGGGGATGTTCTGCTCCTCGGCGAACTTGAGAAGATCGGCACGTCCCCTGCGGAATGATTAGCTTGAATATGCAGTAGTGGACACAAAAGGAGGCTTACTGGAATCGGTTGAAGAACGCAGGGATGCGCCAGGGGGCCAGAACCTTCATCTTGGGGTCACATGCCTTCCACGCCAGCTCGAAGCGAACTTGGCTAGAAAAAGGAAGTTAGTACGGTGCAAGAGCGACAGAGGGCGACAACATATATATCGGGATCATGATCTGCCCTTACCGGTGCCTAGGGTTAGAGTTACGTATTAGCGACTGGGTCGAACAGTAATAAGACCAGTTGAACCACGACAACTTACATCCATGGCTAAGGATCGTGCAGTTGTTATCCTTCGCAACTTGCACCATTGCCCTGGCCAATACCGGCCGGGCTAGGCTTGTGCCGAGAAGGTCTTCAGGGCATTAGCGATGTCATCGAAGAGCGTCCGAGGTGAACCATCTTACATTGTCCTTCATAGATAGCGTTGCCTGGTGGATTCCGTTAGTAAACCCGCTGCATTACCATAAACAGCCTGTGAAAACTTACACTGGATGGCGGGCCACACCAAGTCGTCAATCAGCTCCTGCTGGACGTTCTCGATGACCATCTTCTCAGCGCCGAGCTTCAGCGCCTTGGCCTTGACGGCATCGAAGTCTTCCTCCTGGCCGCAGTCGCCGAGGAAACACACGACCTCATAGCCTTGAAGGACGAGCCACCTAAGAGTCATTGGTCAGCTCTTGTTAAACAATCCCACATCTTCGATGATTGTCGTCTCCACGTCGAGCTCGAAGACTTGGTCGAAGTCTTCTCCTTGCCGCAATCCGTCAGAAAGAAAAACATGGGGGCGCAGTACTTGAGAATAGTGGAAGTATCCAGGCCTGTCCATTGGTCAGAATATCTGATGTTGATGTTGATGACATTACTTCTGGAGCTCTCAACTCACCGCCAGAGTAGGCACTGGACAAGGGCCAGTTAGCTTGCTCGAACCAAAACAATTGAGTGGCAAATGACTTACAGGCAAACACGTTCGGGAGTCATGATGAATGTTGTTCGAAGTTTCGTGGACAACACAAGACGTTAACGTTGGAAGTGACTCTTCTATGCAACCCTTCTTTAAGCTCCAGCTATTCGCATACTTCGCCTTTCACAATGTTCCTAACTAATGGTTTATCACATCTCTGCTCGTATTTCCCATATTTGCATGCATTTCGCGCGAAAGGTTTTCTCTAAACATGGCCTTTGTCCTTTGTACCCGACATCTGCGAATAACACTATCCCACGTTTACGATCCAGCTTGATTCTCGAGGTTTGGTACTCTGTGCAGGCTCAACTACTCGCGGACGGTGTACCACAAGAGCGCTTGGAGCTGACAGAGAAACAGCATGTGTCATAATATCGTGGCTAGAGTGCTGGAAATGTGGAGATCAATTAAATCACGAAGATAGACTGCGGCGGCGGGGCAGCCGCACCGGGAGTCTAGGCACTAATGTCGCTGCCTCTCGCCGGGTCGCATCTTCTGCGATTCGAGACCATTCCCACAATTGTCCACAGTGACCTGTGTCAGCAACTGTGCGGTTAGCCTAAGCAGGGGCCTGAAACGATGGATGCCAAGCACTCAGCTCAGGCTTTAATCACCTTAGCTCACCTATGTGCTCAGGTAAAAGCAGCGCCAGCTCAGGCTTTGTAGGCACGAATTGTCGGGGGTGACTATTGAGGTAGGTAACCTCCATACCTTTCATCCAGACCAACACGGAGAGTCCAAGCAGCAAAGGGGCTGCAGAGTAACGTGCCCAAAGCACTCGCACAAAAACCAGAGTACACACCACTTTGTATGGATGGATTCGAGCTTTGATGCACAGAGAAATTTGTCAAACTTTTGTGCTCACCAACATCTTGGTCCAGCTGCCAATAGTTGCCTCTCCACAAATGCAAGTGCGGGCGACCCGGGTGGTTGTAAATGTTTAAACATCCCGTCCTCAGATCAGATGGGAATGGATGTCTCGTTGCCAGTTACCCAGGGTCCCGACAGTGCAGGGCTGCAAGTCAAGTATGGCCACGTGTCGATGAGATCGCCCGGAGTCTGTGGGAGAATTCAGCAGCGGCATATGGATTGGATTGTTAGGCAGACCGGACGCCTCACTGTCGGCTTCACCGTATTCCTGACTCTAATTTTAAGAACAGCACTGAATATCTCCACGAGCCAACAAAGATCCCTGGCTAGCGGATGAGTGAATGACTGAGTGACTGACTCAAAATACACTTGTCAACGCACTTTACCTTGAAACAACCGTGATCCCTGTAGGCAAGGCGGGTTGACTTTCATGTCGGACATTTACAACAGCGTCATTCTGTTTTCACTCTGTCGCACAATGCCGGAGGGCGAGAAACGCCAAGACCATTGGGGGTACACGCTTAATATCCTCTATTTTCGGTTCGTGCCGTCGGGAGAGCAAGCCGCAGGTTTGGTTGTAGGAGAGGTACCTGTGAAAGGCAAACCGGGTAGTCGATGGTAGTTATCTATGAAGATAGATCCCCTATCTGGAAAACCTCTGACCCATAAACAGTCCAACATCTCTATTGACTCCTTAACCGCCAGGGTAATAAAGTAGCACCATATCCCGACCTGTCGGACCCCGACTGGGAATCGTTGATCCGCCCCGCCCACCGTCCGCGTCCGCGTCCACATCCACATCCACATCCACATCAACCAGCATCCACATCTTATTAGCCCTCCGCCGGTAGGTCCAACCAACAAAGACCCCGGAACCTGAGACCCGCGACAGAGCGACTTGCGACTTGCTTCTCCCCAACCCATGTCCCTCCTCAACCCGTCCCATACCTATTCAACACGCAGCCAGCAACGACAGCGCCTACGGTACCTACATATAACCTTTTGGAATCGCCACATCGGCTCCCTCTTTTTGGTATTAGCCTATAACTTATTGTGACTCTCGTTACTAGCGACCATCTTTCGAGTTCATCAATATCAGGCGCATCCGCATCGCATCCCCAAGTCGCATCGATCGCGAGACGAGCCATCCATCGCTTCATCCACCCTCCGTTCCGACCTCGAGACGACAACCTCATCCTCTCACCTGCGTCTCCTACTGCGTATTGTTTCTCCGCATACAAACTCCTCTCGACAACCATTGTAGTCGGTCCAGCCAGCCTAGTTGCCACGCTGCCCCCGCTCATACATCATGGTTGCGGAGGCTGCCGGCGACGAGGCTGCCACCCCGCCCAGGACCGCGCTCACGTTTCTGGATCTCCCGGCCGAGACTCAACAGGAGATTTTGTCCCATGTGCGCAGTTATAGATGTATTTCCACCCTACACGATGCATTACTAATACTCTCATAGTGCTCTCAGTCGGATCTGATATGTTGCGCGCTCGTCTCCCGGCACTTCCACGACCTCGCCTCTGCTCAGCTCTACCGCAGCTTCAACATTCTCTTCCCAGATGACGACGATGTCAGATTCGAGTCACCCATCGATGGCCTCGCAGGTGGCCTTGACACCTTCACCACGAGCGAGTACAACTATGCCAAGCATCTCAGGGAACTGTCCATGGATACGGTGAGCACTGGCATTAAGGCTGAACATGCCTATAAACCGTATCTATACAGTGCTAGTTGCGGCAAGTTTCTGAACACTCTTCTCTACCTGACCCTGAAGAAGGCCAAGTCGCTCGAGACCTTCAGGTATGTACCTAGACATTGCTCCATTCTCGACTCAGCGACTGACTTCTCTTAGGTGGAACATCCGAGTCGAACTCAGTAGACCTGTCTACCGAGAACTACACAAGATCAGGACATTGACCAAATTCCACATTCGCATGCAAGCTGGAGAGACCTATTACACGACGCCGCCCCCTCTTCCACTGGTCATTGACGAACCTCCACCAGTGACTGCTCATTATTATGACATCCCTCCGCCTCCGCCCCCACCGGTCTTCTCAGCTCCTCTCGCTGGCGTGAACTCGGGACCGGTTTTGAGCGCTTCGCCTCCTTCCATGCTGCCCCTGTCGAAGCAGTTTTCCAAGTCAAAGATTGGAAAACGTGGGTCAGAGGCTCAGGAGCCCCCAACACTTTCAGGATTCAAGAGACTAAAAAGCCTCTCCGTCCTTGACATAGACAGTCTCGAGTCGGTAACTGAGCTGAAAGCATGTGTTAGAAACTCAGCCTCAACCCTCACTGAGTTGCACCTGTCCCTCTCTGAGTCAATGGCGCTGCAGGCGAGGCGACCGCCGCCCGATTCTGATCCGGATGATTCCGACGTCGACGATGAGTTCCAGGTTGTCCCCGCTTCTCAAAGCACCAATTTCGATGCAACTGGCCCTGCAAAGACATTCCGTTCTCAAGAGGAACGCAAGCTTCAAGAAGCTATCCTAGGGAGGATCTTGGATGTTGAATCATCCATCACTAAGAAACCGGCATTGCATCACAGCCCCCGGGATGTGGCGTGCAGTCAACCAGAAGGCCAGGAGTCGGACAACAATGGCAACTCGGCCGACCCTCGTGACGAGTTTGTATCATCTATCAAGAGTGTGTCTTCAAAGTTGATGTCGCATGTCAACGGTTCTCGTGACTTCACCTCTGCGCAACAGGACATTTTGGATATGATCGAAAAGGCTGCAAGAAAGTACGCAGAGTCTTGCGAACAGCCATCTCAACAGCCTGATGGACCATCTGATAGCGGCTCAACGCCGCCTAAAGATGGTGAAGCGCAACCGGCTGAGAAAGATGCCAGTTCGGATTCAGAGACCAAGCCTTCGGTAACCTTACCTGATCGATCCAAAAACAAGGCATCCAACGGCGATTTGTCCCCCGACGACATCGAAATTGAGCATTTGGATATGGTGGAAGACATGGATGAGGAGTCGGATGAACAGCAAACCAAGGATTCGGATGACAAGCAACCTGAACCGCAACCCCAAGAAACGTCAGAGCCGGCTTCTTCCTCGAAGACGCCATCGAAGACGCCACCCCCTATCTCTAAATCCAGCCTCAAGAAACTGTTCGAAGCACTGGATGATCAGCGATCGGATTATGAGACGTTCCTGTCGAATCTGTCGCACCTTCAGAATGACATTGTCTCACTCAATCAGAGGATCACTACACTGCTGGCTAACAGTAATGGCGTGGATATCGAAGAGGTCATGGAGGCAGAGGGCCGCATGAAGAGACTCAAGCAGTGCGTTTTGGATGTTGAGCGCGAGATAAGGGCAACCGACGCCGAAGTCCATAAAGTCCAGAAAGAACTCAACGAAAAGCCACTGGCAAACAGTGCTGAGCTGCAAAAGTCGATGGACGACTATATCCGACAAACACGCGGAATCGCCCTTGAAACTCTGGGAATTCACCTCATCCCGGTCAAAGCCTCAGTCCTGTCGAGGGCCATTGACCTGAGGTGCATCAGGAACTTGACCCTCCTCAATGTGGGAAACCAGAGTCCAATCTGGACGATGCTTTCCAAGGAGAACAAGATCCACCCGCTGGCGTTGCGGAGCGTGTTTACGGACAACGTGTCGACAGCATTCCTCACCTGCATGTCTCAGCTGGATGAGCTCCATGATCTCTTCATGCTGGAACGAAGCCCCAAGTTCAAGCCCGAGAGCTTCGCACCTCGAACCACTGTAACGATTGATCAGATTCGCCGACTGGTGCTGAAGAAGCACATGCCCACACTCAAGAGGCTCATGATCAAGGACGAGTCCAACAGTTCTGTCTGGGATGCCAACCAAAAGGCAATGATTCTCATCTGCAACCGCGGAGCACAGCTGGAGGAGCTGGCTCTGAGTATGAACATTCACGCGGTGGTAAGTCTAGTAAAACCATTTAGCGAGCCCGGCTAACATGAGTGATAGCATGCCTTTATGCAATACTTTGCTGGGTTGGTCAATCTTCGTGCCATCAACATCCTGCGATTCAGGAATAATGACACTTGTATCTGGGTCATGCGCGAAATTCTCAACTTTATCGTGGACAACCTCTCACACCATCCCGAGTTGAAGCTGGAGTGGATCGCAATGGAAGATGACAGGCTAGACCGAGTCATCAGGCCTTCGGACACTCCTGAAGAGGCGCCCAAGAGGAGAGACAAGGGCAAAGAAAAGCTGTCTATGGGTCTTCACCATAATGACAGCGCTCTCCCCGTGCTGCCGGCTTGGGCGTCCGATAGTGAAAGCGATGAAGATGACGACGACGCGTCAAACTGTGGAAAGCGACTTCGGCTCAAAACAGTTGGGGTGTTGCAGTTTTTCGAAGTTTGGGGGGTCAGAATCTTTGACAAGGAGATTCGGACTGGACGACTGTAAAGTCGTAAATCAGTTGAATATTGGAAAGGAATTATTCGGAGCTATGGTTAGTTGTTGATGAGAAAATGGTGCCTTTGGCTCCTCGGCATCAGTTTTGGGAAGGACTTGGAGGAGCGATTCATGGGACAATTGGATATAGCGAGGTATCACGATTCTGGGTTTGTATGTATCTATGTTACGAAGCGACGCATTTTAATGGGGTTGAATTTCAAGCGGATTGGGATTTGATCGACCATGCCACCACGACTGGGCCGAGATATCATGTTCCTATTGTGAACCGATGTGAAGATGCGTTGAAGAAGAAATTACTCATTGGCTGGATTGCCTTGGGGTCTACCTAATAATATCCTTGCTGACGACAACCCACTCGCTCCCTGGCTTGTTAGTGGTGGTCAAGTGGAAAACTAAGGGTTAAAGATGTGTAAAAGGGGCGGATGAGAACGTTCATCATGTCCCTCTTGGAGCATTGGAGGTATATTTTTGATTCTCTGCGAGCAGAAACCCCTACTTTATAGTTGTTGCTTTGCAGCTGGCCAATGTCTGGCTGCTGCCTGTTTCCGCAAAAAAGAGTCAGCAACAACGACAGGAATCTTACTGAATCTCACCGTTGAAGCTCTGGGCGAACAGGGACTCGAACCCTGGACCACTCCTAAAATAATGAACAATAGAAGTATTATTCCACTAAACCATCCGCCCGGTTGCATGAACTGATTGTGAAGGTATTCGCAACTCAGTGTAAGTAGTTGACAACCCCCCCGCCATGGGAACCTCCACCACCTACCCTAGATGTTCTAGCACAACCGCTTATCTGAATAAGAGCCCCGCCAGATAAGCGGTTCAACACCACAACAATAACTTGACGACAACTTGTAGTGAGTATATGATTGCACGAGAAAATGGAAATAAATCACCCATGCACATGGCCCATATTTGCTTCAACAAAGAAAATCATATTCATGCTTCAACTACTTCTCGTTATACCAAGACACCAGCAGCCAAAACCTAATCTGTGCGTAGTCTGGGCGTCACCAGTTTCTCATGAGAAATCCGAGTTTGTATGAAGGACAACTCCGTAATCATTTCGCCGTAGCCTGAATCTAGGTGTGGTACAGTTTACATCAATCACTCCCCCAAAAGGAAAACGCGCCTACATCCGGGCCAAGCAGCAGGTATCTAAACTAGGTGGGGGGGTATTTACAGCCTCGAGATGATGGCCTGGGCGTACTCGTGAGTCTTGGCCTTTCCGCCAAGGTCGCCGGTCAGGGCCTTGCCCTCGGCGAGGGTATCAAAGATGGCGCTCTCGATGCGGGTGGCGTGCTCGGTGAGACCCATGTGTCGCAGCATCATGATGGAGCTGAGGAGGAGAGCGGTGGGGTTGGCCAGGCCCTTGCCGGCAATGTCGGGGGCGGAACCGTGGACGGCCTCGAAGATGGAGCACTCGTCACCGATGTTGCCAGAGGGGGTGAGACCCAGACCGCCGATGAGACCGGCGCACATGTCGGAGAGAATGTCACCGTACAGGTTGGGCATGACAAGGACCTTGTCGTTGTAGGGGGTGGGGTCGGTGACCATCTTGAGGCAGCTGTTGTCGAGGAGCTCGGCGTCGAACTCGATGCCGGGGAAGTCCTTGGCAACCTCCTGGGCGACCTTGAGGAAGAGACCGTCGGAGAGCTTCATGATGGTGGCCTTGTGGACGACGCGGACCTTCTTGCGGCCAATGGACTCGGCGTGCTGGAAGGCGAATCGGAGGACACGCTCGCTGGCCTCGCGGGTGATGAGCTTGATGCTCTGGACGACACCATCGACGACGACGTGCTCAATGCCAGAGTACTCGCCCTCGGTGTTCTCTCGGATCAGGACGGTGTCGACGTTGTCGTAGGGGGTCTCGTAGCCGGCGACGGAGCGGCAGGGTCGCAGGTTGGCAAAGAGGTTGAAGGTTCGGCGGAGGGTAAGGTTGAGGGAGACATGGCCCTTGCCAACGGGGGTCTGAATCATCATGTTAGGCCATTCATTGTCCGAGGTGCGCCGGATGCGACGGATTTGCGCTCGGGTTAACATACAGCGAGGGGACCCTTGAGGGCAACCTTGTTCTTCTCGATGTTGTCGATGGCGTCCTGGGGAATGGCGGTCTTGCCGTCCTTAATGATGGGAGTGACGTCGACAGGCTCCCAGGCAATGGGAGTCTAGAAGTGGTTGTTGTTAGCATAGGCCTTTTTGTCTTACACGAGCGGAGTTGTCATGACATACCTTAGCGGCGGCAAAGATGTCCTTGACGGACTGGGAGATCTCGGGACCAATACCGTCACCCTCGATCAAGCTGACAAGAAAGTTGCCCTGCGCATCATGTTAGCAAGCTGTCAATTATGACCGTGGCTGTAGCCAAGCGTTGTGACTGAGCTATTTTATCTCGGCACCATGCTCGGCCCAGCCGAACGCTAGGATCATCCAAATGCTGTGTTATGAGGGAGCGCAAAACGTACATTGGCATCCTTGGTACCGTTATACTTGGCCACCTTTTCGCCAGCGGTCGAGTAGCATCGGTTCTGTAGAGGCAGTTAGTAAAAGATTGGCGGTGTTGCGCCAAAACCCAAGTAGAGAGTTTAGCGGGTGGTGGTGATCTCATACGTAGACGGCCCACGACACAGCAGCGCGGGGAGCTGCGCGCACGGCGTGCCGCGAGGCAGAGGTCTGGAGAGCTCGAATGGCCAGCATTTTGAGGACGAGCGATGCAATTAGACGGGTTACTACCGCGGGAGAAGCAAGGAGGAGGAGGGGAGAGGCGTGGAGGAGAAGGAATAAAAAAAAAAGAGAGAGGTTTCTTGAGAGAAAGAGTTAATGGGACCAAAAGTTAGAAGTTTCCAAGGGCAATGGATGGGTGAGCCGAATGGACCAATGCTGCGAGCCGACGAGCCACAATGACAGCCCAAAGAGAGCCACTAGCCACCGCGAGCCACGGGCAATTGTGGATATACTGTGGTAATTGTGGCGCACGGGTCCACCGACCTCCACTTTTCCGCGTTTTTTCTAGATCTTGTTTCGGCTACAAGCCTCGTATGCCGCCGGACTTCCGCTTAGCACCTTTTCTTTTGCTACCCTAACGGTCTCTCCGAGCCGACGAGGGGCCGGTGGGGAGCCGCGCCTCACCAGCTGCTTCACTAGCCACACCGCGCGCTTAGGCCATGCACGCCACAGGTTTGAGCCACACTTGAGGCTGGAGTGTTTCACCACCACCACGACCCAGCCACATGCATGCGGCAGCTTAGTTACACCTCACAGCACGCATCGAGTCTTTAAACCAACGTCGCCTCGCACGACGGCCACTGTAACAAGGCATCAACTCACGAATTATCGCCACGCGAGGATCCCATATTAAGCAGAGGAGCTCCTTCTGCCAGCGCCGACCAGGCGCAATCCAACCCGCCCACCGAAACGAGCATGCGCCGCATCCCCTGATTGTCCCACCTTTAGCTTAAGCTCCATCGTCATCATGGCCGACACCGAGCGAACAATCCTCGATTTCTACCAGATCCCTACACTATATCCTTCAGAGTGGCCGGCAGAGAAGGACCTGGAAGACTTTGACTCGGACGATGATGAGAAGGATGTCAAGTTGCAACGAAGACAGTCCCGATACCAGGCGCTTGAGCGAGCTGTGAGCACGCGAAAGAGCGTGATACCGGGTTCAGAAGGCGGCAAGGGCGGTGTTGGGAATCTGGTTCAAAAAGATGAGCCAGACCCCCTGGGAACTACAGACAGCGTCGTTAGAACGCTGAAGCATCTTGGTCTACCGCTTCAAGATGATCACCGTCTCCGTACGGCACCGCATCGCCCATAGCTATCGTTGGATGGAGACTGACTTGGCATGATACTCAGGAAACCGATTTCTCCTCTCCTCGACGACATTCTCCCCCGCTCTATTCCTCTCACAGATGCATGCGACTGCAGATACTCGAAGTTTACTTACCGGTCTCGACGTTCTCTCACAATCCATCGATCAGAAGTCGGCTTCACTCAAAGTCCTCGTTGAGACAAACTTTGAGAGATTCGTCAAGGCGAAAGCTACTATAGATAATGTCTATAAGGAGATGAAGTATCGCGGCGTCGAACCGCCTTCCGCCCGCGCTCGTGGTCATTCCCGCGCTGCTAGTCGCAGTAGCTTCCGGAACAGCGGCGTTGGAGCTGGACTGGGGCTCAGCAACCCGCTTGGATCACCTGCGGCAGCTGATACGCGAAAGAAGAATGCGCTTACCAAGGAGAGCGAGTATGGTGTCCTGGGTATCAAGGCCCCTCTACTGGACGTTTCGGCCAAAGCTGAGGACGTCTGGGGCCCCGCCCTGGGAGGACGAGAAAAGGAGGAGAACCTCAAGACCGTGTCGAACCACATGACTAGGTTTAAGGACTACGTGGAGCTGAGCAGCCAGGTAGCCGACAGCATTAAACGCAAGGACTATGAGTCACTCGTCGAGGAGTTTAACAAGGCCAGGAAGATTGCGGATGAAGCACGGCGATTGTCCGATGATCTGGCGGGAGACACTCCCACTGAGCCGCAACTCTATCAACTATTGATGGCGGCGCGGATGTGGCATGATGTGGACCAGCAGATTCGGAGCTTCAAGCGCGATGTGTGGAAGAGGCTCGTCACCCTTCATACGGCATCCAAGTCGGATGCGATGACGGGCAGAGGCTCAGATCAGCACACGGAGCTCATCAGTCTACTCCTTGAACTTGGCGCTGACGATAACCCGATCTGGGTCTGGCTTCTGAGCCGATATGATTATCTCAAGGGCAAGATCCAGTCAACGGCGGACCGCTCAAAGGTTGAGATTGAGGTGCTTCGTCGCAGACTGGCTGTCGCCGATAAACCAAACCCAAGCACGATCGCAGCTCATCTGAGATCCCTTGGCCGGTCGGTAATTGAGGGCAAGCCCCTGACTTTCGACTCTGCCGATGTGATTGAACTTTGGGAGAAGATGCTCGCATTCTTGAGCAGCCTGTTGTCGTCCAAGGGCATTCTCGCTGAGGTTGTGGATTTCTGGCAGATGGTCTCAGGATTCATTGATGGCAAGTCTCAAGCAACTCTCCCCGTGGGCTATCTCGGAGAATCCAAACACCATCATGAACTATCGCCGCAGAGTGTCGGCGAGTTGCGGAAGGGAGCGGTCGAACTGGTGGACATGCTCCGGGAGCACGTCTTTGCCTTCTTCGTGGATTTGCCCCCTGAAGATGTCTCGCTATTGTTCTCGCCATTGCCACCAACGCCAAACTCACCTTCTCCTGTACCACACACCCCCAGATCTGGTGGACGGACGCCGACTTCGGCGCGAGATCCTCGTTTCAACTTTGACCCGAATAACCTACCACCACCATCACCCAAGAGAGGTGAGGCATGGGAGAAGCTCGCGTTCTGGCCGCCCTGGTCAAACTCCATCAGTGGTGTTCACTACCTATCCAAGATGCTCACCCTTGTTGGCTCAGGAGCATCTGATATGGCGAGTATTGATCCCATTGCCTCAGGGGACAATCAGGTGCTGGAACGCCTCAAGACCCTCGTCGGAGGCTCACGAGAGCGCTGCGTCACTGCCTTGTGCGCTGCTTGGAACCGAGATGCCGAAAATATTAAGTATGCAGAGGACTGGGAGCGCTCAGCCGAGCTGGGTGACGTGACGAGAATGCCAGCGAGCTTTGCTGCCTTTGAGGGGGCTCTGCTCACGGGGATGCAAAAGATCCTATATATCTCTGACGCCATGTCCAAGCCTGGAGCGGGAGATATCGTCTTGCCGCCCCCGGCGAAGCTTCTTCAGATGGTGCGCAGTCAATACGTTTCCACCCTGTACAAGGCCTTGAGTGGAATGGTTGAGAACGCTGAACGCTCTCTGAAGAGGACCGAAGATGACTGGTCCATCGATGGCGAGGGATCACTTGCGTCAGCTGCGATACCCTCGATGGCGGGCAAAGCGGCGTTGAATTCTGGAGACAGGGTGAGTGATATTTCAACCCTGCTGATAGCTTCGTCTTGCTAACATTACTCGTAGAACATTCGCATGCTCATGACCCTTAGCAACCTCCAATCACTCCGCTCGCAGGTCGTGCCGAGTCTCAACTTGCAGTTTGAAAACGCCTTTTTCGTCAAGTTGATGGAGGAATCAAAGAAGATTCGCGAAGTCCTCGGACAAATCCACGAGCGGCTCTTCCAGTCCTACACTAAGCAGTCGATCGAAAACCTTCGTGACATCATTCAGTCCGGCGTCTCGGCTCCCGACTGGGCCCCTGGCCATGGCCAACGCACCCAAACGGCCAAGCCATATGTCTATGAGGCTCTCCTCAGCCTGGTCCTCGTCCACTCGCAAGTCTCGACTACGGCACCCGCCCTCACCTTTGAAGTACTGTCCTTCCTCCTCGAGCAGACCTCGATCCAGCTCCTCGAGGCCTTCCGCCGACGCCCGCGCTACTCCCTTGAAGCTCTCATGCAAGCGACTCTCGACGTCGAGTTTGTCGCCCAGACCCTCAGCCACTACACTTCAGAGCGTGCTTCGGAGCTGCAGAGCCAGATCTACCAGGAGCTCGACGCACGTACTGACAACGAGGCCCGCGCCCGTCTGCAAGGCGAGCTGGGTGAGATGCGCAACGTGCTCAAGCGCCTGCGCGACGCCAGCAAGAACGAGTTTGCCTGCTTCCGGAAGCCCAAGCGGCCGGGCCACGGGCCGAGCCGGAACAACAGCGGCATCTCGTCGACCTAGGGGGCTTCCGAGATGCGTGCTCGAACGGCTTCCGGGGCTACCGAGAGCGGGAAGCAGAAGGAGAAGGAGGTTAAGTCCAATAGTAGCAGTACCTTTGACCCCAGGAGTAGTATCGTTGATGATGGGAGCGTGTGGATATAGTAGCAAGTGGCCATATACCGTGTCTGAAAAATGATTCTTTCAAAGAGCGAGCAATGCAAAATGATGAGCAACACGGTAATGCAGTTTATTTCCCGAGTTCCCCCCAAGAACCTATATATTCCATCTCGTCAAGACCCCCCCCGAGGTATCTCGCTTTGTCTATACCGTAACGCCAGTTCCTACAAGTCGTGGCCGTTTTTATACTAGGTTTTTCTCTTCCCCCCCCATGCCTCCCTTCCCCCTTAAGTAGCCCGTTTGGCTCAAACGCCTATAGTCATACATGCATCATCGTGTGGTATCAAGAAAGAAGAAAAATGAATCGTTGCTTTTTTGTTTTCCGTCCAGTCATTAGCCATTAGTTGGTCGAAAGGTGAAAGTCGAGACCCCGTTGGCGAATATGAGACAGGCGTGCAAAAAACATCTGGCTCGTGTCGTCTACGGGGTGTTGGTGATGAGAAGGTGAGAGCAGAACATCATCTCGAGGGATCGAGAGTCTGCAGGAGAGAATTGGGACCCTTCTTGTCGGGCCAGGATAGCGTCGTCTGGGAAACATGATTAGCATTGCTGTAAGATAGAGGGGCCACTAGACTTACAATCTAGATCGAGGTCCTGGAAGTAGCTCGCAACAATAGGTTCTTGCTCCGAACTGGCCAGCTTTCCAGAGGCATTGCGAAGCGTCTGTGGCAGAGCCTTGCGAATGGCCAGCAGCATCTTGAGTAGACCTGCCAAGTTGCCTCCCTGCTGGGTGAACACGCTGGGATCCCTCTCTAGGGGCCATCCAGGTCGAAGATGGTCCTGCTCCCAAGCCTTGAAAGCCCACGTCGATTTCTCGAGGCAGTTGAGGAAGATGAGCGCCGTGAGGTACATCTTGAAGTTGACCTTGACTTTACTGTCCTGGAGTACTCGGTGCATGCCGCTTAGCAGGGCCTTGGAAGTGTTGTTTGCCTTTCTTTCGGCTGCTGCGTTCAGCTGCATGCAGATGGTGGTGTAGATATCAGCGTCGTTCTCGCTCTCAGCCTCCTGAATACGTCGTGGCTCCTCTCCCTCACTCGCGGGTTTTTCAATAATGTTCCACTGTCTCTCACGGTCGATACTCTCAACCAAGCCCCAAAGTTCTAGGGACTTTCGGAGTAGATCATCCTCGCCTTCTGACAGTTGCTGAATGGCGAGTTCCAGTGTGACGCGCATAAACCTCGATGGCTCACGCTCAATAAAGAGGTGAAAGACGTCCCGCATATAAGCTTCCACCTTGCCCGGGATGTCCTCCTTGTCCTGATCGATCATGATGACCTGCCAGAAAGAGTCTTTGCTCCCTCGTGTCGCAGCTAGTGTCTCACTAGGCTCCAGCAATGCGACAAAAGCCTCCATAACGATGACTTTGCCAATTTCAGGAAAGTGGGAGACCTCAATTACGGTGCCATCGTGGGTCATCTGGAGCTGATTCTTCAGCAGGTTGATTCGATTCTGGGACAAGACAACCTGAACACCAGCCGAGTACAAGTCCAGTTGCTCTTGTAGTCTCGTCCGAACGCAGCCAGTCCTCCAGACACGAGGCGACAAGACCTTTCGACAAGTATCACATGGTGTTCCCTTGCCACAGTTCTTGCGGAGGATCCTGCATCTGATACAGGCACCGATCTTACGGACCTCCTGAACCTCCTTGCGCCGAGCTGCTGTGAATCGGGATCGAGAATGCCGGGGCCTCCCGTTCAACTGCCCATCGCCCGTATCCATGCGTACACCGCCTCGGTTCATCTGAATAGGCGCAGGGGGGTGATCGGGGACAATCGGCACTGGTGATGCGGTAGCCAAGTATGTCATTTCGCCCCATGGCTGTGAGATACCCCCGTCGGGTGCAGTTACCGCACTTGGGGAGGTTTCGACGGGAGGCGCGAGTTCGACGGTCGGAGGCGGTGTCGATGAACCGTTCTCATTAACGAGCTGAGGATCGAGAAGCGACGGGTTTAGCCGCGCGGTGGCAGCAACAGCAACAGATATGTTGGAAGCATCTGGCGAGGCAACGCTGTTGGGGAGCAATGCCTGAAGTCGTTCCTCGGGAGATAGTTCGGGTCCAGGAAGCGGCTGTTGGACAACGGCTATTACTGAGTGTTAGTTCAACTTCTCACAACGGACCATACATCATCTTACCCCTATTTTGCTGCTGCGATCGATTCTCGTAGCTCACGGGAGGGTTGTCGAGGGTGAATTGCTCATGAAGTTCGAAACGTTCAACAACGTGAGTACTGGCGGGGTCGGCGGGGTCGGCGGTACCTGGAGCGCTCTGGCCACGGTTGTTCTCATTAAGATCGACCTGTCGCGAGGCTTCGGCAAGAGTCTCAAGAGCACTCCATCCTTGGGGAAGGTTGGGGACGTCGACGGTCTGGCCGTTGGTCTGCGCATCAGGAGGCGGTCGCTCTGGGGCCGCACGAGCATTGGTGATACCATGGAGCTCGAGGCAGGCTCGCATGCGGTCCGACTCGGAGATGGCGGGGCATTTCTTGGTGATGTGGGTGGTCAAGCTATCGATGCGGCCCTTGGGAAAGTTCTCGCCGCATTGCTTACAGGTGTGCGGATACCTGTTGCTGTTATCGTTGAGCTTGGGGCCTCGGACGAAGTACTCGAGGATGAGAGGATTGGGCTTGCGGCCCATTGCGATTGAGCGCTCACGGGCGGTGGTTGCAAGCGCCTGGCCCGCAACCTGATCCGACAAGGCGTCAGAAACGCCTATTCCACCAAAAAGAGAACCAGAGCTGGACGTCCAGTCCCGTTCCGTTCAGTAGAAGCAGGCAGATGGCACCGTAGGGCTGGCGGAATTGGTGATGGGGATTCGCCGTGGCTAGATTCTGCCTCCTCAGACCGACAAATTTCTCACACCGCCTGTCGAAAGCCGGCCGAGGGGTTAATCCGAGTCATGGTTTGGACGCGATGATTGGTAGAAAGTCTCCGACGCAGAGAAAAGTCAAACGTCGATCTTAGTCATCACCCGTGCACCCTCCAAATCGCGGGGTCCCTTTCATCACACCACGAAAAAAAGCTACACCCCGCCGCTCGATTATATCCTTGCTCGTCCTTGAATTATACAAGGTTCAATAATTGCAATTGAACTCGGAAACACCCCCAAAATCTTCCATCATGAAGAATATTCAGCGACTTGAGCTGTCGGCCGCGGCTGACATGCATGTTCACTTGCGCCAGGGTGAACTAATGGACTTAGTAGTCCCGACTGTGCGGCAGGGTGGAGTTGATACGGCTTTCGTGTATGGACTCTGTATCCTAGAAGAGAGAATTGAGAAAGCTAATAGAAGAGAATAGAATGCCCAATCTCGTATGTGGCTTTTGTAAATTCCGTGTTCTGAGTGATTTGTTTAAGAGATGACTCCATCATGACATCTATGCTTGTTGAATGGTTACTGATATTCAACCAGCTGCCTCCTCTTACATCCGTTGAGCAGGTATGTAACTCGTGCCCCATGGATACGGAATTATCCTCTATGACCCATGACAAATACCTAACTCTTGTATAGGTGCTCGAATACAAGTCCAAGCTTACTGCCATCACCAAGGATGTCAACTTTCTCATGTCACTCTACGTTAGTCCTGCCCCTATTCATGATATCCATGGCGCACCCTAACTTCTGCCAGCTTCACCCCTCTGTTACCCCAGAGGTTATTAAACAGGCTGCTGCTGCCGGTATCACCGGTGTGAAGCTCTACCCCCAGGGCAAGCTCCCTCCTCCTTTCGAGATGGACATGTTACTTATACCATACAGGTGTGACCACCAACTCTGAGAGTGGTGTTTCGGACATTACAGCTTTCTACAACACCTTTGCCGCCATGGAGAAGCACGGAATTGGTAAGAAATCACAGATCTATGAGATTTTATTCTTCTCTTAGCTGGGAAAACCTGGTGAAAGCTGACTTCTCCCTCCGTGCCCAGTGTTGAACATCCACGGCGAGGTTCTCGAGTCTCTTGCACCAGCTGGAACTACCCTGGAAGAGGCTTTCCTCCCTACTCTGAAGCAACTCCACGAACGATTCCCTGCTCTGCGCATTGTGGTATGTGAAGACTCAACCACCTTGACTAAATAGTGACTAACATGGAGACCAAAGCTTGAGCACTGCACCACTGCTGCTGCTGTCGAGGCTGTCAAGGCCTGTGGACCTACTGTTGGTGGTATGTTCTTCGTGGCTGTGAGATCATCTAAGGAATCACACTCATCTAACGCTATTAATAGCTACCATCACGGCTCACCATCTTTACCTCACCTCCCACGAGGCTTGCTGCGATCCCTTCGCCTTCTGCAAGCCCATCCCCAAGAAGCCTACCGACCGCGATGCCTTGGTCAAGGCCGTTGTCAGTGACAACACCAAGTTCTTCTTGTAAGCCCATTTCCCACCTCTACCCTATTCACATGTTAACCACCTACTAGTGGAAGCGACAGCGCCCCTCACCCCCTCCAGTCCAAGACCTCTGCCGAGCAGGGCAAGGCACCTGCTGGTGTCTTCACCCAGCCTTACGTGACGCAGCTCGTCCTTCTCGGCCTCGAGGAGGCCATTGAGCGGGGCGTCATCGCCGACGCCGACGTCACCCAGGAGAAGCTCGAGAACTTCTTCAGCCGCAATGGACGCCGCTTCTACAAGCTCCCCGAGGTTTCGGAGAACAAGATCATTCTGGAGAGGAAGGGAGAGAAGATCCCCACCAGCATCAAGAGTGCCAATGGTAAGAACGAGGTTGGCATCTCCAGGCACGGAGCTGAGGTGTTCAGCCTGACCTGGGCTTGAGTCATGAAAAATGGACAATGATTAGAAAACGGAGTTGCGGCATAGGGTGTGTTGAGCATAGAATGAGGAGTCTAAAATAGGAAGTGCGTTGTGAATAAGGGTTCTAACCCGTGTTTGAGAGCATCCGTCCTGGATAGTTTTGCGTGAACAAGTGATCAACTATAGACAATACACAATCCCGAGGGATTGTAGGTAACCAGTCGTACGATTCTTGAAGTAATGTACCGCATTTCAAGTAACTATTGCCATCCGTGTTCTGTATAGTAAACATCCATAACTCCGTGCTATGCTCCCAAGTCTGCACCCGCCCTAAGGAGACTCGAGGGTATCTAGTTCAAACAAAATACCTAGCCATGTTACCTAGATTCCTCATCCCTCCCCCAAACATTACGGAACTCCTCATCGTCGTCTATCCGATAGTTTGATTGATAATTTGACATGAAGCCGTGAGGCTGCGTCTGATTTTGAGTTCCACTCCATTCTGCCGAATCTTCGTTGACAGGGCTATCACCTCCATCATAAGTCCGAGCCTGGCTGGCTTCTGCGGGCGCCGGAGGACCCTTGCCCAGACCGAGTTTGGCTGGGTCAGGTTCTGCGTGCTTGACGACCTTCTTGGACTTCTTCTTCTTTTTAATGGGGACCACGGCCTCCGGAATAGGCTCGGGCTGAGGCGTAGGGGGAGAGTCTCTGCTCCTCTGCTTGCCCTTGTTGGTAGATGAGGCCGTTTCCGGTGCTGGCGATCTCACAGATGGGCTGTGATAAGCAGGTGACCTTGTTCCAAAGCTCCCAGGAGAGCGATACCGGTCCCTCAGGGGTTCGCTGGCGGTAATGACAGGGTACTGAACGTCGTTAGAAGAGGCAGAAGATCTGGGTCCATTCCACTTACATTCCAATCGCCATATTCAAGCTGCCGCGCCTGTGCATACAGGCGATCCTCGTCAGCATCCAACTCGGGTTCCTCAAATGTGCCATGGGTGTTTTCGTTGATCTGATCCGGGCGATTATGGCTTGCCTCCCCGTTTGATCCAAGCAGAGGAGTTGTCGTATTGATCTCGCCAGGCTTGGGAATCCAATACTTTCCTTTTCCACCACGTTCGTATCGCATGCCTTCTTTGAGCCTCGCAAGGCGGGACTTGGAGTCTTCATGGGCCATCACTTTGTCGCCAGAATCAAACACTCGGTAACCATAAGAATCTCCAAGGAATGTGATTTTCGAGTCCTCGATCAAATCTCGTACGCCAAACGCGTCTTTGAAGGCATGGTTGAGAGGCATCCGCGCAGACAGGATGCTGTTATCGGCAAAATCATGCCATGAGAAGGCATACCAGTGTGCCACAGCAAAGATGGGCATCTCGATACAGATGAGAGCATCCTGGATCGCAGCTGCGAGGTTGTCTGGCGTGTATCCTTGCACACTGTCGGGTATCGCACCTATCCAGACCAAGATGGATAGAAAAAATCCTTGCCAGTACGAAGCAAAGATGATGAGCTTGATGCATAGAAATTTGGGTACTGGTCTGAAAGGTTGCAGGTCTCGGTTCATGCAAACCCAGAAAAGGCCGAGAGAATACAAGCTGAGAGTGACACTAATATTGTATATGATGCCGCTCCAAAGGTAGCCAGAGGTGAGTCCGATATAACCCTCTTGGTATGTTCCTGTTGCCTTCATGATGACGGCAGCAAGGGCAAGGATGGGCTTCAACCAGGCATATTGAAGGATACCTCGTTTGATTGACAAGAAAGTATAAGGATCTGAGATGTCGACCTTTGGTAGGACATGGTTGAGCGGCCAGAGGTGGTGAACAGGAGCTCGGCCATGCGTCATGATAATGAGGGACCGCTCTCCACTGAGATAGTTGATGAGCAGCTGGAAGAACGTGTAGATCGTAAACGCTTCGTAGATATCGCGGATTGGATCAAGGAAAGCGGCAGCCTTCAAGGATATCATGCTGGTCCATGATGCGATCGAGTATATGGGCACCATAAGAAGGATTCGGACGACATATCTTTGTAGCAGGGGCTTTCGGTAGTTTTTGGCTTGCAACAGTATCGAGCTGTACTTTTCGTTAGTTATGTGCACCAGCAAGCTGGAGTATGGGTTTGGGAAGCTCATACACGACAGACAGTATTGTCGCTGCGAGGGACGCGACGCCAGCTACCACCGTGGTGGCATAGGTAAGCTTCTGGCCTGTGCCGCCGTTTGACATGGCCTCGACGTAGTCATCCATGGCGACGTGGATTCAGCTGTTCCGTCCCGTCGAGATGATCTAGTATATGGGCAATCGGCTGGCGCGTCCTAGCACATGACTGACGGTCTGCGCAAAGTTATGTATGATGAAGGGAGAGATGAGAGAAGCTCAGTGGCATGCACGAGTGCCAACGGTGGCGTAAACCGGTGATGACGACACCGCTCGGATGGAAACCCCCGTGATTATCGATTGCCGCCTCTAGCCAGACTGTCGTGGACGAAGCAAAGACGACAGACGGCCAGGTGATGTCCTCGTTGCCTTGTCGCAGGAATGGATGGTTGGTAGGGCCGGCACGGAATTATGTTTCATGCGTCCAGGTAACCACTTTCATCCTGGCAATGACCTAGGGCGCACTTGCCGTAATGGTTCATGGGGAGTCCAGGAGCTTTGATGCCGCTTATTTAGGCGTGTGGGGCGCTAGACTATCGCCCAAGACCTCTGAAGCCACACCAACCACAGTGGCTCCGCTACCCTGCGTCCGCTATTTGACAGGGGGCGGATACCAGCACCTCAACAACCGCGTCGCGAAGCGACATTCTTTTGGATTGGATGACCTGACAGCTCCTGACCGACTATAACATTAACCAGCTACTATGCTTCATCTGCGGAACCTCGCAACACCTTCTGTCCGCTAAAGTATTTCCAAGCTGTTGCTGTGCTCTAGATGATGCGACGTATCTCCTTGCTACTTTATGGAGCTTGCTGAGCTCCGTTGAGCTACTTCAAACATGAATATCACCCTGGCCGCTCTCGACAATGCGATTGTTGTAGCCAGAGACACCAAGACCCCCAAATTCAATTAGTATGTCGGACGTTGTTTGTTTGTCTCTCGTATACTGACTCGAACCCTCTCGTAGTGAATTCCTCATCTTTGTCGCCCTTTGCTGTATCCTGGCCATCTTCTTCCTCCTATACTTCAACCGAGTCTTTGCGTCGATCGTCTCCTACTTCATCCGAGCCTACACATGGCACCAGTATCGAGTCTATATCGACATCAAGGCCATTCAAATATCTCTCCTAGGTGGTCGAGTCTTCTTTACGGGTTTACGGTATCATGGCGAGAACGAGACGTTTATGGTCCAGCATGGTTACATTACATGGAGATATTGGCTTCGACGAGTTCGCGACGCAGACATCATCGATTCCCGACGAGCCAAGGTGCCGACCACCGATGCTACACCATCAAGCGACATAAAGAACTCCGAGCTTCCCTGCCGTATACAAGTGGACCTGATCGGTTTGGAGTGGTTTGTGTACAATCGAAGTCCAGCCTACGATACCGTCCTTTCCGGTCTCACCCAGCACCATGACCCAGATGCTCGATCGAGTGGCGTGTCAGAAAAGGATGAATCTGCATTGCGGTCGCGAGGTCCCAAGCTGGAGAGGGATGCTGAAGGTGAAAAGGGGCTGGACGAGAAGAAAGAGGCGGACGCTCAGGCGAGGTACGTGTACCGGCGCACGACGACAGGTCTCGGAAGCGGCGAGGACGACGAAAACACCCACAGCTGTGAAATGGAGCTGCCATTCATGATCCAGCTGTTCCCTATACATCTCCGCTGTCAGAAGGCCGCCGCTGTCATGGGTAGTGAAAACACAAAGGCGATCCTCGTTGCCAGGGCAGACTCGCTTGACGTGGAAGTTGACGCTTCAGAAACTACCACGCGCGATCCTTACAGACAAACCTTCAAGGTTCAATTCAAACATCCAGTCATCGAGTTCAAGGATAATGAGGACTTTAAGGAGGACCAAGCAACCCGGGCCACCCGGGATCGCGACACTACTCAAAGCCAGGAGGCGGTTTCGAAGCGATCACTCTTTCGTCATCATCGGCGAAGAGCTGTCAACTCTCTGCGCAATCTGGTGCCATATTGGCGGCGCTCTGTTGAGTCCTTCTCGACTGATTCACGGGCCGTGAACACTGGAGCTTCGCAGGTTCCAGGCGCCAACCAATGGCAAGGATTAACACGTTATCTGGATGATCGTGACCGGGATGACAGGGCTCGCTGGGGAGCAGTCGAATATGCCGCTGTGACTACAGTCTTGGATAGCCCTGAAGCGGTATTGACCGTGTACTGGGACGCTGTAGGAAAAGTCCCTGATCGAGGCCCTGGAAATCCCAAGGCGTTCCCACTCAACATCAACGGGAGTGAGCCTCCGGCCTGGGGCATCAATTTCTCTGTTAAAGGAGGAACCATGAACTATGGTCCATGGGCGGACCGTCAGAGGGCAGATTTGCAGCGATTCTTTTTCCCGTCCCTCTGCAAAGATGCAATCCCTGCGAGACCGCTGAAGCCAGGGGACTGGAGAGCCGCTACCACCTTCTCGCTTTACGTTGAAATAGACGACACGGTTACCTTGAGAGTTCCTATAAGGGAGGAGTCCAAGAACTGGCGTTGGCGAGGCAAGGAACCACCAATGAAACACCAGAAAGCGCCCACGAAGCGGAAACAGAGAAACAGGGCGAAAAAGAACAGCAAAGGAGAAGCAACTCAGCTTCGCCCTGCCGGATGGTTGGAGGTAAAGCTTCCAGCCAACTCATCGGTCAAGTTCAATATGGATATGATGGCAAGCTCGACTGGTTACACAACGAAACTCGACGTCGACCTGCCCAGCTCAGAGCTCTGGAGTTCTGTCAATCACGATCTGCTCTGGCGATCAAGTGCTCTGCAGGTATCCTGCGATCTCTCTAACCCACTCTCCTGGAATTCGCTCAGGAACTGGAACTTCAGCATTACCAGCTCCAAAATGGAT